GTCGACCATGGTGAGGCCTGTTCTGAGTGGAACCTGTCCTGTTAAACTGCTGTATGGTCTTGGCCACCGTGCTGCAGTTCAGTTTCAGGGTCTTGACAATCTTCTTATAGCCTATGCCATTTTTATGTAGAGCAACAATTCTTTTTTTCAGATCCTCAGAGAGTTCTTTGCCATGAGGTGCCATGTTGAACTTCCAGTGACCAGTATGAGAGCGTCAGAGCGATAACACCAAATTGAACACACCTGCTCCCCATTCACACCTGAGACCTTGTAACACTAATGAGTCACATGACATCGGGGAGAGAAAATGGCTAATTGGGCCCAATTTGGACATTTTCACTTAGGGGTGTTCTCACTTTTGTGGCCAGCGGTTTAGACATTAATGGCTGTGTGTTGAGTTATTTTGAGGGGACAGCAAATTTACACTGTTATACAAGCTGTACACTCACTACATTGTAGCAAAGTGTCATTTCTTCAGTGTTGTCACATGAAAAGATATAATAAAATATTTACAAAAATGTGAGGGGTGTACTCACTTCTGTGAGATACTGTATGATCACCCGGTCGCTCTATATTACCGGCAGCCAGTGGGAGGTAATGTGTCAGAGATAAAAACACATTTTGTTGCTTCTCACCAGATTTAGTAAAGCAGTGTATTCCTTTAACAGATGATAACATGAATGACAACAAACTCATTTTCTTTAAAGTTTAATAGTTGTTCTTAAAGGGATAGTTAACCCAAAAATGAAACTTCTGTCATCATTTGCTCAACTTCCAAGACTTTTTTTTTCTGTTCGACATAAAAGATGTTTTGATGAATGCTGACACTGCTCTTGTTCATACAATAAAACCATACAGTGACTAGGGGTTATAAAAAAAAAAAAAAGTAAGCCACATAACTTATGCACTATATAGTCAAATTATGTATTTGTGAGGAACATTAGCTGAAAATCGTCCTTTGCCACAGCTCAAATCTCATCCACACTTCCACATATTCAAATAATGGCTTTTGTTTTTGCATGTCTTGTAAACAATTTCACAGTAAGTAACAATATACCGAGGCGAACATGAGATTTGAGAGCTATGGTGAAGGGCACTGCAGATTTTCAGAGTAAAATAACTTCAATTTCAGTGTCGTTCCGAACATGATGAATAATAGTACAGCTTCAGAAGACTTGGAATATACACTACTGTAAAAAAAAATAAAAAAATAAAAATCTGTAAGATTTTTAATATTTCTGATGACTTTTTTGCTCACCAAAGCGGCATTTATTTAAAAAGAGCAAAAACACTAATATTGTGAAATATGATTACAATTTAAAATAACTCTTTTTAAATATATTATTCTTGTGAGAAACATTTATTATTATCGAATATCTGTAAGATTTTTAATATTTCTGATGACTTTTTTGCTCACCAAAGCGGCATTTATTTAAAAAGAGCAAAAACACTAATATTGTGAAATATGATTACAATTTAAAATAACTCTTTTTAAATATATTATTCTTGTGAGAAACATTTATTATTATCGATTCTGAAAACAGTTGCTGCTGGATTCTTTGATGAACAGAAATGTCAAAAGAACAGCATTTATTTGAAAAAGAAATCTTTTGTAACATTATAAATGTCTTTACTGTAAGTTTTGGTCAATTTAATGGATCCTTGCTGAATGAAAGTATTACTTTCTTTATAAAAAACACTGACCAACACTTTCAAACTGTAGTGTAGTTATGGATTATATGTTTCTTAAAATGTGCTTTTCTCTCTCTCTTTTTTTATTTTGGAACTTAAGAACTAACAACTCTATTTCGAAGCCTATTTGCTGGACCACTTGCAAGATGAAAAGCACTTTTAATAGAATAACACCGAACGCATCGCCCTGGATTCAATAAAACCTTTTATCCCTCCACATGATGACTCCTCATCCAGCGTTAATTAGCATTTGGCCTGCTCCATTACTCCAGCCGAATACAGAAGCCATCTGTGACGTCAACATTAAATGATGTACTCTGATCTGGGCTGCCAGCTGGGGTTTGTTTGAAATGCTGGACGACGGACTGTCAACACAGAGTGACTGAGCTCACAACTGGCACAGACCAGGGGTGAGGCTTGTTTCGGGTGAGGTTTTGGCAAGATCCCTCTTTCTCATGTGATAATCATCACCAAAATCTCTGTTAGCTGGGGAAGTGCAGGAAAAACATCCTTATTCATGTCCGTATGTGCATGGCCGGAGGACAGTGCAGGAAGTTAGTCACTGCAATGTGAAATGGACCACGGGATGGTGAGTAAACAGTACAGAACCTGCGGGTCTCGGGTCAGGGTAGAAAGAGCTCTAGTGTGCAATCTATTTGAAAACTCACGCTTCAATGCAGACAAAAAGCACTATGACCAAAAGTGCAACCGAATCATTTCTTCAATCATTGACTTAATTAGTAAAAGAACCCATCTCCAAGTAAACACGGGGCTTCAGTATATCCGCCCAGCAGTGGGTGAGTGCAGGTGTCAGGGTGTTTGGGTTTAAAACAAGTGTTTTGGGTAGAGATGTACAGCTGTTGGACAGATTCTGTCAGGATCATGTGCACCGGACAGCAGCTGTTATTGTCTCTGCAAATAGGGCCACCTTCAGTTTTGAAACGGAGTGCATTAAGCTGAAAAACTAGAAAAGTGGGAATTGTTCTTATTGACTAAACATACTGACAGCACCTTTAGAAAATAGATGCATTTGAACCAAACAGCTCATTAAATTTGTTTTAAACCGCTTTTAATAGCAAATGTGTATAATTATAAAAAGTGTGTACATTTGTAAATGAAAAATTATGTGTAAATGTAATATATATTACTTAATGTACTTTTTAAAATAAAATTATACACGTATAAATAACATTATGATAAAAGTATTGTTATTATACAATTTAAAAACATAAACAAGCACGCTTGCGTAGTTTTGGCGCATGCGGTCAGAGTCTACACGCGCGTCATACCATACGACTTGTGTCAATTTCAAGTGTGTATCAAACAAAGCATACATTATTTATCACACCAAGCCATCATACACGGCAAACACACTCATGTTTATGAATTTCTCAACACTCACAGTGCAAACACTGGCCACTGGGCACATTTTAAGCGGGTAAAATGGTTGAAGCAGACATACCACGCGCAACCCTCTCTTTTAGCGTACAGTAACGTTACCATAGTCTTACCTTAAGCGCGTCACGACAGCTCCGTAAATATGCCTCCATTGTTACACGGAGCCCGAGAGTTTTCACGTAACGGAATATCCTGAAGGAGTATAAAATGCCCTTCAGTGCCTCTGTAAAGTGTAGCGTCTCAGAATTCAGAGGTTTGCGAGCACACGTGACTTACGTCGAGATGTCGCATGGTGTGTCGGGAAATGTAGTTATGTTGTGGACTCACGAAAGACCCTAAAATGAGAGGGTCCATGCGTTACCCTTGAGAAACCTCTCTATGCTAGTGTTCTCCTAAACTGTGACCAAATTAAAATGACCCAATATTTGATCAAATATACATGTTTGAAAATTAAAATATTTCTTTTGAGGGAAAATTAAACAAAAATATTGATGATGACTTGTGCACTTCACAGATTTTTTTTTGTCCAATCAAATGCATTGAGTCCCTCAATGGACTCTTTAATACGTCTCACCCCATTTTGCGGTTTCATTCGAAATTTGTCTATAAAGGCAAGAAAAATTGTGCTTGTCAAATTAACTAATTCATTTTAATTAATTAAAATGTATTTATTTTTTGTCTGAGTATCTAAAAACAGCTTCTCTGATTTTATACAATTGTACAATATCAGTGAAAATGCAACTTTAGTAAAATACAGTACATTAAAATATTGATGTATCCATTCTATTCTCCAAAAACACATTTAAAAAAAAAAACTAGTGTTTTACACTGGGTAACATGGCGAAACAGCATTATAGTTTTTCTTCTACATTTACATCTAACATTCCTTTCTATTAAAACATCCTAAAAATTCATCTGATTTATGTAGGTGGTTTAATGTAGGATCCTAATGAATATTAACACATTTTTGTCAGGGTGGCACCTTGTGTAGTAAACATCAATGCACTTGGGGATATGATTCGGCGCTAAGTGTCTCTGATATAATGCTGATGCTTTGTTCTTCTTGACTGAATTTCTGCTATGAATCAAATTTTGTCCAATAGCATGCCGGTTTAGATCTTCTCAACGTAGTTGCCAGGAAACATGCCTTCCTTTCCTCGAAGACGGCCCTGCCACCAACCTGAGGGATCTGGGCAGGTAGCACATCTTGGGTTAGTGCAGTATTCGCTAACCCAATATAATCTGTATAAAGTTCACTTTTAATATTATAAAAATAGATTACCTTCACATCGGATTTCTATGATTTCATCTGCTTGAAAGTTGAGCTCATCTGTGTCCTGAGCATCATAAGCGTAGAGTGCTCTGCATTGTGGGGTGCGGGGTCTGGGTTTGGGTTTGGGTTTGGGTCCCCCTGAACCTGGAAGAGGCTTGTACTCTTTCGAACATCTGCGATGCATTCTGAGAGAAAACACAGAGAATATTTCCTTTGCAAGACTGAAATAAACTGAAATAATAATTGAAATTAAAATAAAAACTAACATTGCTGGTAAAAACTGAAACTAAATTTCTATCACTTTAAAATTAACTAAAATAATATAAAAATGTACACATTCTTTTTTGTTTTAGTATCTCTGAAAAAAAACTAATAATGATAGAGTATTTATTCAAATTAAATTCAGAAAAAAATACTATAATAACCTGAATGACAGAATTAATTTCTATTATGCCATTTCGAATATTGTCTTTGATGCAGTCTGTAATGTGGCTGTATGTGAATGTAAATGATCTTTTGTAAAGCCGAAAGTGCACGATAAATAAAGTTATTGTCTCCCAAAAGAAGGAATCAACTCTAAACAGCCTAAACGAGTCATCAGTAATTCGAATTGCACTTCCGTGACGGCTACACATCACGAGGTAACACATTTGTATAATGCCCGCCTATGTTCTATGTTGGCCGGCCGCTAACAACTTGACCCGCCCTCAAACACTGTAGCTTTGTGTGGTTAACATCCTGTCAGGAAGACATTGTGTCCTACACTGTGAAAGTAAATTCATTTTATTTTCACTTCCGAAAGATGAGGCTGCAAAGAATCAGTGGTTAAAATTCCTTTTTTCCACTGTACCACAGTAGTACAACCCCAATCTTTTTTTGTGTTCCTGTAATTTTACTGAAGACAGCTTCTCTAATCTCGGGGAGTTCAACGCGGGATTCACAAAATGCTTGCTCCTGAAAGATGACTGTACCCAGTTTATTTGGACCAGCTGGCTCCACTGAATCACAACCTGTAAGTATGATAAATATTAAATGTTTATATTTCCTATCGAGCGTTTCAGAATACGGAACTATGGCAGTGGGCGTATAGTTTCCGACACGCGATGTACGTGGTAGACCAATCACAAAAGACTAGGCCATCTGACCAATCAGTGCACAGTAGGCTCACGGAAAGGAGGGGTTTAGAGAGACTGAATCTTAGAACTGCTTCAAACTATTTGTTTGAGAATCGTTGGAAAATGAGGTGATATTAAATGAATATTTTGATAAAATGAAAGCATTTTTTGACCTTGCATGCATGTAACCCTATTGTAGGAGACTCCCAAAACTATATTAGGAACCTTAAAAATGGCACAATAGGGCCACTTTAAAAATCTGTGTTACAATTATTAACATACTGATCTGTGATCTAGTTTTAGCCAAACAGGTTTCGAGATTGTAAAGTCTTCAGTCAGTACGGCTTGGAGGATATAATACATTTAATCGCATTTATCTGGGATTCTGTCATACAACACATCATCTCACCCTGCCACGCCCTGATCAGGAACTTTCATGAAGCCCATATCACTGTCAATGTGGCTCTCGCGTTGACTGCGGCAAGATCCCTGGAGTCTGGGAAGGGTAGGCTGATCCATACTGGACTGCTGATGGAGCAGAGAGTTCCTAACGGCGGGCTGCCCTTGGGTTCCTCTTCCTCGACTATCAGACTTAGGAGGTTCTGAAATCACAGACCATAGGAACATTTCAAAACTATTTCTAAAACAGTTTAGTGGCAACTTTTGTGAAATATGTAAAATTGTGCTCTTACCACGTGAATACTGGCCTACATTGCGATTTTGGTTCCCCATGTACCTGCTTTTTCGGTTGTCACGGCGAGTGGGTCCTACAGAAATGATAATTGTGACTAGATAGATGGATGGATGGATAGAATACACACACACACACCACGCATACACTATCATTCAAATGCTTGACGCTTAATAAATTCTTTTAAATAAGCAATGATTCATTACACTGATCAAAAGAACAGCATTTTTAATAGACATTTTTTGTAACAATAAACTGCTATTTTTACTGCCACTTTTGAACTTTCTATCCTGAAAAAAATGTATTGTTTTCACAAAAATATTAAGCAGCACAACTGTTTTCAACATTGATAATAATACGAATGTTTGAATGTATTATATGTTAATAAGTATATTTCTTCTAAATGAGCATCTTAGAATGATTTCTGCTGAAATTTCATCTTTGCATCACAGGAATAAATTACATTTCAGAATATGTAAAAAAAAAAACAGTTATTTTAAATTGTATTAATACTAGGGCTGTCAAACAATTAATCGTGATTAATTGCATCCAAAATAAAAGTGTGTGTTTACATAATATGTGTGTGTGTATTGTGTATATTTATTATGTATCTATAAATACACACACATACATGTATACATTTTAAAAATATTTATTTATTTTGGATGTGATTACTTACGATTAATCATTTCACAGCCCTAATTAATATTTCACAATATTACTGTTTTTGATCAAATAAATGCAGTCTTGGTGAGCATAAGAGACACTTTAAAAAAAAAAAAAAAAAAACACCTTACCAGCCCAAACTGAATGGGGAAATATTTATGTCTCCATGATCTCAAAATTGTATGCAAAATGGGTGTCAAGACTACTAAATAGTGATTATAAAGCCCATAAAGGTATTACAAAAGTTTTACAAATTCGACTGTAAACAGACACACAATCTATAAGAGTAAAACACTGTATTGTAAGCATTTAAAAAAAATTTTCTACAACTCAAAATTTCAACGGACTCACTTGCGTTTTTAGGCAGACCGGGTCCAATACTGACAGTCTGGACCTTGCTGCTGGGCTTCAGAACTGCTTCATCACCCTGACCCATCTGAAACTGGATCTGTCGAGAGCCAGCAGATGAAAATGGACCCCATCCTCCTTTCTTCACCTTAAATTCAAGCCTGATAGAGAAAAATGTTGAAATGACAAGACCAACATATCATACTTTTTCTGAATAATACAGCACATTTCTCAGTGAGGGAAACATTGCTCACAGGTTGTTAAACTTGAGAGGCAGCTTTTTCCGTGTTTTTTCCTCGTAACGCTTGTACAGAAGACTGAGGAACTCGGTTTTAAAGACAGACTGCAGCACACTGTCATATTGATCCTCGTGCACTATGAAGAGGTCATCCTGTAGTGTGCTGAGGAAAGAGAGGTACAATAACTGATCTGCCCACCATCCATATGCAATTTAGAAAATTGTGAAAACCTGCTTAAATACTGGTTTAAAGGCATCATTTACTCGCCCACAAGTTGTTCCAACCCTGTATGAGTTTCTTTCTTCTGTTGAACATAAAAGAAGATATTTTAAAGAATGTGGGCAAGCAGTTGCTGGTCTCCAACAACTTGAGGGTGAACAAATGATGACAGAATTTTCATATCCCTTTAAGAACTTAGGGTTAGAAAACCCTTTATTTTAATTCTTATTTAAATGTATGATTTATTAATCATTTGAAGCTTTAATGTAGGGAGAACTTTCAAGGCCTAAAGGTTATCATGCATACTACAAGATGGAGTACCTAAGAGAGACAGACTGGATCTTTTCCACCTCAATAATTCTTTTCAAGACCTCCCGAATCTGGCCTTTCTCAGGACCCTGTTTCACCTTCTCACGTCCAATCAAATAGAGGAACTTAGGGGTGAGAATGAGGTCACGCTTGACAGTCTGTGGGTGTTAAAACAGCATGTGAGTATGTGGTCACATGAAATTTGTCAGATGAACTACATGTGCAGAATGAAACATCTTCTGGTTCAGTAAACTAGCACAAACTACTACTAAACAGTTACTCAGGAAGTGAGCTATAAGTTTCAGAATGTTAAATGGGACTTTGAGTCCAACCTTAAATCTGCGGTCATATTTGACCACCACATCAGCAAAATCAACCCTCTCCCTACGACCCACGAACTGCCGAATCTCTGGATGGTTGTCCATGCCAATGTAGTCTCCCATGAAATTGCGGTTCAGACTGTTTGTCCCACCATCTGAGAAAATGAGTTACAACAGCAAAAAAGGGAGATAGCATGGTCTCAAATGTTCAGTTAATGAATTAGGTTTGAGAAAACCACATTAAATCGCAACTGTAATATATCTGTTCACATCACTACCTTCAAGTTACAAAAAAAAGTACATACAGATTCTGGGGCCTTGATGAAGATTTTGGTCTTGCCCAGCTGGTATTGGTCGGAGTCCATATTGACAGATCTTAAAAGGTGCAGGACACCCTGT